TTCGGGGGGAGAAGCCCTAGTTCCTAAATGAACATTCTGAGGTGCTTCCGTGGTTTCTAACACATCCACAGCCCTTGCATCTTTCCTGCTGCATGGCTCTCTATCCCCTACCTCCACTGAGACAGCAGACCAAAGGACCTCGCTACCACACAGTCCCTCAAATGTTGGTGTGCCACCCCCAGGCTTATCTCTAGCAAGCCTGGTTTTACCCCTTCCCATCTTCCAATCTAGTTTAAAGCTCTTTCAAAGAGCCCTGCTAACTCCTGTGCAAGGATCCTTTTCCCCCTTTGAGACAGGTGTACCCTGTCTGTTGCCAGCAGGCCTGGTAACATCTAAACTGACCCATGATCAAAAAAACCAAAATCTTGCCAGAGACACCAGGCCTGAAGCCAGGTATTGATCTGCTGGCTCTTTTTCTGCATCTTTCCTCATCATTCCCTGCAACTAGGATAGAGGAGAACACTACTTGTGCTCCTGATCCCTTAACCAGTCATCCCAAGGCCCTGAAGTCCCTCTTGATTGCCCTTAGACTTCTAGTTGCAAAAGAAAGCCTACAGAAAAGAAAGCCTGCAGCAGTTTAAAAGCACTCAACCACTCTGCATAAGCTTTTGGGGTGGAAGATGAGGAAGAGATCACAGCAGTTGGCTGAGGACTTTTATGGAGTCAGAACTGAGTTGTCCAAGCTGGGATGTGGTCAGGGAACTCAGCTCACCACAGCCTAAGACTGTAACAGGACCCAGTGTCCGCAAACACCCAACACTGTGGGTTTGCATCTCTTCTGGAATACAGCCCAAGGGCCAGAGGGTCTCCCATTGCTTTCTGCAGGACAGACACGTCCTGTGTTAGCCACCAATTTCTTATGAGGCCTGGGCTCTTCACAACAGTTTCCCACACAATCACTGACCCCATCTAACATACAGGGTGGTTGCTAGTGTATGCAGAGCCTGGGACTATACCTTTTGGGCCATAATCCTTGTACCCCATGTATCCCTGACACCTGTCTCCAGCTGCTGTGGTAGGAGGTCCATCGTTTCCACCTCTGATGCTAGAGCATGGGAGAGGCATGGCACCTTCATTGTAATCAGGGCCCAAAGGGCACAGATCCTCAAGGGCCTACAGTGCAAAAAAGCAGGTCAAGTTAAGAAGAAGCATGCAGTTTTAATGTTTGCAAGTATGTGAGCAAGGATCCTTTCCCTGCCCTCACCTGCCCTGCCAGAGTGGGCAGAGGAGGTCTATTCCTAAGACCACTCTTCCACAAATGCAAACAACACACAATAGCTTTCCACACCCTCTCAGCTCCTATTCTGAATCTTAGTTGTCAACCTCTTCATCCTAACATAACTGGGCTGCCAACCAGTAGAACACCCATTAATCATTATCAGCCAACTAGCTTCCCTTGCCTACTTCACCATCCTCGTAATCTTCTTTCCCATTACTGGAGCCCTAGAAAATAAAATACTCAATTACTAAAAATACTTAGTTCATAAAAAAAAGCATTGGTCTTGTAAACCAAAGAGTGAAGATTACATCTCTTCTTGATTATTTCTAGTTACGGTGTTCCTGGGCTAGAGTTGGGCTTCAGATGATCTGGTGGGTGGCAGACATCTTTCAGGTATAAGCTGAATGCTTTCAGGTTATAGCTAAGTACACCTTCTGGGACACTTACCTTGTTAGGACTTACCCCATCTTCAGCTGATATGTGCATTAGCTACGAGGGCTTATAGCTTGTGAGAAGGGTGACAGCAGTATGTATGTGCCCAGGGCCGACTTAAAGGGGCTCTATTTTCCCGCTTTACTGCTAAATCTGCCTTCTAGGGATGATTTCACATCCCCTCCTGTGAAGTTTTCTATTTTAGAAAATGTAGCCCATTTCTTTCGCCCCATGAGCTATACCTTGAGCTGTCTTGTTAGCAGGGTTAGGGCTAGTATACTGTTACACTCTCAGGAGAGGTGAGCTAGTGACGGCAGTATGTAGGCTGTCCTGGCAAGGACCAGTTGGGTGTATCATGGGATTACCAATTATAGAACAGTATCCTCTAGGTGAGTTTGGGGCACCACCAAGTCCTTACAGGTTTAAGCATTTGTGCTCGTGCTTCTCAGGCAGATACTTTGGTAGGGTAAGTATCAAGATTTAGGGCGAGGCATAGTGAGGTATCTAATCCCAGTTTGCATCTTAGTTTTTGTGGGGTTTAATTAATCGTGGATGCTATGCTAAGATCGTCTTGAGGATGCCTTTAGCTGCATCTTAGGCTTACAACAGCTCAGGCATTGGAGCAGGAATTCCCCTGCAGCCTCTGCAGAGGACAGGATGCTGATCTGGCTAACTCCGGGAGACATTCACACTCTGGTAGTAAACTCATAGAGAAACATTTACACCACCAGCTGATCCATTCAAGTGTTGACAGCTGTTTGTTTAAAACAAAGACCACCATTGTAGGGGCTTATTGACCAATCACAGACCCTTGCAGATCCTCTAGCATTACTAGCCAAGTGACTTCTGCTAAGTTTGTATCCCAGTGCTTGAATGTCCCAGCACCCGTTGCTCTCAGTGTAGCTTTTAACAGTCTGTTGTATAGTTCAATTTTCCCAGAGGTTGGTGCGTGATAGGGGATGTGCTACACCCAGTCAATGCCAGGCTCCTTAGCCCAGGTGTTCATGAGATTGTTTTGGAAATGTCTGATTCAATTCTTTCACAGGTGCCACGTCACCATAAAACTTGTTTTTCAAGGCCCAAGGTCATATTCTGAGCAGTGGCATGCGTCACAGGGTGTTTCCAAACATCCAGTAGTCACTTCCACCATTGTAAGCACATGGTGCTTGCCATAGCGGATTCATAGTAGTGTGATATAATCAATCTGCCAGGCTTCCCCACGTTGGTACTTCAGCCATCGTCCTCTATACCAGAAAGGCTTTAGCTGCTTAGCTTGTTTGACTATGGTGCACATCTTACATTCATGGATAACCTGCGCAGAGGCATCAATGGTCAGGTCCACCCCTCGATCACAACCCCATTTGTATGTTGCATCCCTTCCTAGACATCCTGATGTGTCATGGGCCCATCGAGCTATAAAGAGCTCACCCCTATGTTCCCAGTCCAGATCCACCTGAGCCACTTCAATTCTAACAGCCTGGTCCACCAGCTCATTGTTTCAATGTTCTTCAGTGGCATGACTCTTGGGTATGCAGGCATCTACATGACATACTTTTACCACCAGGTTCTCTACCTAAGCAGCAATATCTTGCCACGATTTAGCAGCCCAGATGGGTTTGCCTCTGCACTGCCAGTTGGTCCACTTCCATTGCTGTAGCCACCCCCATAGAGCATTTGCTACCATCCATGAGTCAGTACAGAGATTTTTCTCATTCAGCAATATCTAAAGCCAGCTGGATGGCTTTGACTTCTGCAAACTGACTCAATTCACCTTTTCCTTCAGCAGTCTCAGAGACTTGTTGTGTAGGATCCCACACAGCAGCTTTCCACCTCCAATGTCTTCCCACAGTATGACACAGCTTACTGCTTTTCATTTGCTGGTAATTTACTATACAGTCGGGCCTCTTCACCGTGAGTCACCTCCTCTGACAACACTCCAAAGTTTCAGACCTCTGGCCAGTCCATCATCATTTCCAAGATTCATGGGTAGTCAGGGTTTCCCATTCGAGCCCATTGTGTTATCAGTGCAACCCACTTACGCAATGTAGCATCAGTTGCATGATGTGTAGAGAGGACCCTCCCTTTGAATACCCAGCTCAGCACAGGCAATCGAGGTGTCAAGAGGACCTGTGCTTCAGTACCAACTATTTCTGAAGCAGCTCAAACTCCTTCACATGCTGCTAATATTTCTTTTTCAGTTGGAGAGTAACAAGATTGATAAAGGCAGGGCAGGAAGTGGGGAGCAGGGAGAGGTATTCTCGACAGCAAGCAGGGTGACGTGCTATATGTGAAACTCAAAACTAGCTAGGAGAAAGCTTTCACATACTGTACCTACACAGCCATAGTTAAATTGAAACAAATAAGCTTGGTTCATTGCCACAGTTCGTATAAAATTGGCATTTATTGATTATTCAAAATTACTAATCCCCTGAGCAATTTGTTCACAGCAGACACAAACACTATAACACACATTCAGTCATGTTCTGCATGAAAGACTTAAGTCATCTGACTAGACCGTCTCATTCTATGGTGGAAAGTGTTTGAATTTGCTTTCCTCAGCCTGACCATTTGCATCTATTTTAGCTTCTATGACATTTCAGTGATAGAGGCACAACTACAATCAAAATTTAATCGGAGAGAGCTTTGATCTCACTAAGGACCAGAGAGCTTTGCAGAAACTCACGCTTTCTCTAACAGAGTTGAGGCATCATCTACCTACCACTTACTTTTAACAAAAACAGCCAAGGATCACTCAAGACACTCTCCCTGGGAGAATGCCTGAACCCATGTTGAAGCCTTCCTCAGGTCTGCCCCTTTTCCTGCCTGGAAGTCATCCAGACAGAATCAGAGGACTTTGGCTCGTGGGCCTAGATTTTTCTTGCATTTAGCAATCCCAGACAGATGTAGACCTAGCAGTTTTTCAGCACATATACAGAGTCTATAGCATACCAGCTACCTGGATAAAAGAGTAAATCCATTGCTCACTGGAGTCACTGAAGACCTGCTATGAAGCAGTACGTATAAATACCATTCAGAAAATTCCAGACAAACATAGTCAGTCAGTCCCACAAAGGGCCTAGATCTGCATCTTCCCAGGCACAGGTGGTGTTTATCTGAAGTCTAAGAAGGATACCCTGACTTGTGCATCGCCATAGACTTTCTATCATCATTACTTCTTGCTCACTCTTTCTCGTTTTAGAAAAGGCCTTAAGGTCTTCTTTATTAGAAGTATTTTATACTAAAATATTAACATTATCTGGAATCCTCTGAAAGACATTCTTACACTCATGTTAGGCTTATTTACTACTACACACAAAATTTAAGTGGCATCAAGAAGTGCATTGAGATATTACAAGGAATCTTGAAGCCTAGTTTTTAAAGCAAAATCAGCACTGAGTTTCCGCATGACTTCTGCATGACTTAGCCCATGCTGCTCTCTTCTAGTAAGTCCGTAGTTTTCTTTCACATACTTTGCAAAGGGCATTAGATGTGTCCTAGCAGGAGTGCCACCCTTCCGAGTGGGCTGACTCAGGACCAGCTGCCCCCCGCAGAATGCACACACGAAGCACTCTGTGTCCAGAGACTTGGAATGACGTCCAATCCTGAAATGGGAAAATAAGTACTTTGATTTCACAGTTGCAGTAGACAGTACTTGCGGGAAAGGGCTTCTTTCTCTTCTGCGAGGCTACTTAGGTCAGATTTCTAAGCTAGCATTTTAGAAAAGGAAACAGACTACATACTTCACACAGCGGAACAATCAAATCTGTATTACACATTTCTCTACCCTAGAACTTTTTCCACTGCCTTTTCAGCTTGGTTCCTTCCTCTCTTTTCCTCTCAGCCTAATAGTTTCAAGTGCTACAACATTTTGAAACGCCTCCATAATCCATGTATCAACTACCCCTTGGAGCTTCTCCTCAAAGCCATGACTATCAAATCTTCTCAACGCTCTGTTGCATCTAAGCCACTAATGCATTGCATAGTCATATTAAACACTCCAGGAAGATTCTTTCATATGTGAAATACTGTTTCCTTCCAGTGCTTCTGGAAGTAGCACATATGATCCTGAGAGAGAAATATCCCTGAGAGAGAAAAGCCCCTAAAGTTGGGGGGGGGGGGGAAGGGGAGGGAATAGTGATGATATTAAAAAAAATTAAAAAAAAAAAATCATCACACCATTGTCAGCCATTTTCCTGGGCTATGCAGAACTGAATTCACAAAACTTCACGCTCTCCCACTGAGACTGCCGTCATTATATACAGAAGCCTGTGGTCAGCTTTGATCTTCCAGAAAAGGCAACACATCCCATACCCATGAAAGGTAAGAAACCTGTAAAATTACTATAGCAACTATTTCTTCTGCTTGATCTCAGCAACATATATAGTTCTCATTTCACAAATGAAGTAAGCAAGACAGAAGTCTGATGACCAATGTTGCAATCTATCAGTAGATCTGTGTCCTAGCTTCAATCCTTCACATCACAGTGCTGCTCACATCTGTGTGGCTGCAGACATCTATTCTTCCTTTAATATATACACAACCTGAAAAGAGTCCATGAGATAGAAGATCAACTAGAAAACTGACTATAGCTTTTATAGAGTTTTAAACCAATAGAAATCACTATACTGTTGGTATCTACATTTTGCTTTGCACTACCATAACAAAAATGCAAGATTAGTCAAAATGTTTAGTCTTAATTCAAAGTCATCAAGATATTAAACCCAGAAAGCTTCCTCTGATACTTTGTTCTAATATCTAATTACCATCACACATTTTGTGCCCAGTTTTTATGGAGACTTGTTCTGCTTTTTTATTCCAGTTACTACTAACTGACTTCTTTCAGTATCAATGGTCCTCAGTACCTTTACAAGGATGAGCATATGAAAAATAACTCAGTCCACCATACCAAGTCTAGCACTCCCTTGTGGACTGTTTTTTCTTAGATCAAACCTAGATTGTTATGGCACATTCAAAGATGATACTTTGTAAAACATGGATAGATTTCAAAAGAACTTGGAATGCCTTATTTCTGCAACACATGCTAGTACTTTGCTTACATGCATTCTAAAGGGATGTGCCAGATCCAGTCATTGCTCTGTCAGTGTAGGCCCACAAGTATTACTCCTGATGTAGTAGTACTTAGTTAAGACTGGAAATATCACCCCCTACAAAAAAGTCTATAGTAGGATCAGTGTTGGTCATGAAATCAGAGATGAGTGGTCAAAAACTTTCACAAGTTCACTCCATATTAACTACAGTAGAAGGCGAATCCAAATTTACATCATTTGAGCAATGCTTGAAAAGTGAGAGCAGCCACATGGGGTGTGACCTTTCCCTGCCATGTCCTTCAAAACTGAGGCACATATTCTGATCTCTTACTGCTTCCCAAAGACCTTCCATCATCAGCAATGGTCCTCAGAAGACACTTCTGCCTGTCCTGACCTCTGAACCGTAACTGCAACTACCTGGAAGCAAACACGTGGAATCATGTAGTGAAGTTCTGTGGGCTCAGGAAATACGAAGTGACAACTCAGAGAGTATCCTAATTGCTTCACAGTTTAAGAGACCCATGATTTCTAGACACAGGAAGCTGCCAAGTTAGAGACAAAGTTAATACATAGTCATGCGCGAGATCAAAACATTACTCACGTAGCTTTGCACACAACACACTCATAGATGAATTTGTAATTAATCTCATAGCTATGGCATCGTGTTACCACTGGCAGTTCCGGATGAATCACAGCTGATTTATTGGCATAGAATCTCCAGAATTGTCCATGTCCATCGCGAACACCATTGATCAGCCAGGTGGCTGCATGGCAAGCCTCATGAATTAGCGTGTCTCGAAGACGATCTTGGGGTAAGGCAAACAAAAGACATTAAGATCAGTCAGGTATGAGGAAGTATGGAATTTCATCCTTGGTCACTGCTTCAGACCTTTGACGCTCTATTAAGATGCAAGAGTTATTTTGGAGATTGGAATTACCAATGTTTTGATAAGATAAAACACCCCAAAACAAGGTTTTACTCAGAGCATTTCCAGTTTTGTGATTAGCCCTAATTGTGCATCCTAGTTACTTCCCTGCATGCCTAATCTGTTTGGGTTTTTTTTGTTGTTGTTTGTTTGGGGTTTTTTTTGTTTTGTTAGGTTTTTTAATGGACCTGAAACACCTTTATTTAGACCAAGATTCATTGATTGCTTTTGTAACATTGATATTTTTCATCCAGAAACAACTAGAGTGGAGCACTGAATTTTCTCCACAATTAGAGCAGAATATTTCAGTTGGAAGGGACCTACAATGATCATCTCTAGTCCAACTGCCTGACCAATTCAGGGCTGACCAAAAGTTAAAGCAAATTACTAAGGGCATTGTCCAAATGCCTCTCAAACACTGACAGGCTTGGGGCATCAACCACCTCTCTAGGAAGCCTGTTCCAGTGTTTGACCACCCTCTCGGTACAGAAATGCTTCCTAATGCCCAGTCTAAACCTCCCCTGGTGCAGCTTTGAACCATTCCCACACATGCTATCACTGGATACCAGGGAGAAGAGATCAGCACCTCCCTCTCCACTTCCCCTCCTCAGGAAGCTGTAGAGAGCAATGAGGTCACCCCTCAGCCTCCTCCAAACTAGACAAATCCAAAGTCCTTAGCTGCTCCTCACAGGACATTCCTTCCAGCCCTTTCACCAGCATTGTTGCCTTTCTCTGGACACATTCAAGTACCTTCGCATCCTTCTTAAGCTGTTGGGCCCAGAACTGCACACAGTACTCAAAGTGAGGCTGCACCAACACTGAATACAGCAGCATAATCACTTCTTTTGACCAGCTGGTTATGCTGTGTTTGATGCACTCCGGGATGCAGCTTCCCCTTTTGGCTGCCAGGGCACACTCCTGACGTATATGGAGCCTGCTCCCAACCAGCACTCCCAGATCCCTTTCTGCAGGGCTGCTCTCCAGCCACTCCTCAGCCACTCCTCTCCCAATTTACAATTGTGCCCAGCATTACTCCCTTCCAGGTGCAGAATCCAGCATTTGGACTTGTTAAATTTTATCCCATTAATAATTGCCCAATGCTCTAATCTATCTAGATCCCTCTGCAAGGTATCTTGCCCCTCAACAGAGTCAACAGCACCTCCCAGTTTGGTATCATCAGCAAACTCACTAATGGTGCGTTCAACTCCTGCATTCAGACAGTTGATAAATGTATTGAACAGGACTGGCCCTAGAACTGAACCCTGAGGAACACCGCTGGTGATCGGTCACCAGCCAGATGTAGCCCCATTCACTGCAACCCTTTGAGCTCTGCCCTTCAGCCAGTTTTTCCCCCAGCGCACCGTGAACCCACTCATCCCACAGCCGGACAACTTGTCCAGAAGGATGCTGTGAGGGACAGTATCAAAAGCCTTACTAAAATCCAGAAAAACTACATCCACCACCTTCCCTTCATCCACTAAGTGGGTGACCTTATCATAGATGGATATCAAATTAGTTAAACAGGACTTAAAAATTAGTTAGTTAAACAGGACTCATGGCTTGGATGAGTGTACTCTTTGCTGGGTAGAAAACTGGCTGGGTGGACAAAGAATTGTGGTAAATGAAGTTAAATCTAGTTGGCGGCCGGTCACGAGTGGTGTTCCCCAAGGCTCAGTACTGGGGCCAGTCCTGTTCAATATCTTTATCAATAATCTGGATGAGGGGGTCAAGTGCATCCTCAGTAAGTTTGCAGACAACACCAAGTTGATCTGCTGGAGGGTAGGAAGGCTCTACAGGAGGATCTGGACAGGCTGGATCGATGGGCCAAGGCCAACTGTATGAGGTTCAACAAGGCGAAGTGCTGGGTCCTGCACTTGGCTCACAACAACCCCATGCAACACTGCAGGCTTGGGGAAGAGTGGCTGGAGAGCTGCCCAGCAGGAAAGGACCTGGGGGTGTTGGTTAACAGCCAACATGAGCCAGCAGTGTGCCCAGGTGGCCAAGAAGGCCAATAGCATCCTGGCTTGCATCAGAAATAGTGTGGCCAGCAGAATTAGGGAAGTGACCATTCCCTTGTACTCGGCACTGGTGAGGCCACACCTCGAATGCTGTGTTCAGTTTTGGGCCCTTGTGGTGGTGCATTTAAGTGGCTTAACCACTCTCCTGTGACAGCCCCTCACTACAAGGACATTGAGATGCTGGAGCATGTCCAAAGGGCAACGAAGCTGGTGAAGGGTCTAGAGCACAAGAGCGGCTGAGGGAGCTGGGGTTGTTCAGCCTGGAGAAAAGGAGGCTGAGGGGAGACCTCATCGCTCTCTACAGCTACCTGAAAGGAGGTTGTAGTGAGGTGGGGGTCAGTCTCTTCTCCCAAGTAACAAGCAATAGGATAAGAGGAAATGGCCTCAAGTTGCGCCAGGGGAGGCTTAGGTTGGATATTAGGAAAAGTTTCTTCACCAAAACGGCTGTCAAGCACTGGAACAGGCTGCCCAGGGAAGTGGTTGAGTCCCCATCCCTGGAGGTATTTAAAAGATGGGTAGATGTAATGCTTAGGGATGTGGTTTATTGGTGGACTTGGCAGTGCTAGGTTAACGGTTGGACTTGATGATCTTAAGGGTCTTTTCTAACCTAAATGAGTCTATGACTTTCCCTTTGTGAACCCATGTTGACTGTGCCTGATGACTGCATTATTCTTTAAATGCCTTTCAATAGTACCCACTGCTATCTTCTCCATAGCTTTTCCAGGAAGTGAGATTAGACTAAGAGATCTGTAGTTTCCTACATGCCCTTCCCTCACACCCTTCTTGTAAACTGGAATAACGTTGGCTCACTTCCAGTCAGCAGGGACCTCCCCAGGCTCCCAAGACCTTTGGTAGATGATTGAGAGGGGTCCTGCCATAACATCCACCAGCTTCTTCAAGTACTCTGGGCTGAATTCCATCAGGCCCCATGGACTTGTGAACATTCAGCTGATACAGATGGTCCCTGACAATTTCAGTGTCCACAAATGGAAAGTCACTGTTCCTGCACTCGTGGGCCTCCGACGCAGGGGACTGGGCAGCCCAAGGTCTGTCAGTTTTCTTAAAGACTGAGGCAAAAAAAAAAAAAAAAAGAGCCTTGAATGCCTCTGCTTTTTCTTCATCCGTTAGTCAGATGACCATCTTCAACAGGCATCAGTCCAATGTTTTCTTTAGACCTCCTCTTGCTATTAATGTACTTAAAGCCCTTGTTATCTGACATGGCACTGGCCAGTTTCAACTCTAATTGAGCTTTGGCCTTCCGTGTCTTCTCTCTGCAAATATGAACCACAGCTCTGTAACCTTCCTACGAAGCCTAACCTCGCTTCCAGAGATAATACAATTTCTTTTTCCTCTTGAGCTCCACGAGGAGTTCCCTGTTCAGCCAAGCTAGTCTTCCACCCTGCTTGCTTGACTTACAGCCTGCTCCTGTGCTTCTTAAAAACTGACCAGCATTCATGGACTCCTAAGCCCTCAAAAGCAGATTCCCAGGGTACTCTGTTGTATCTCTCAAATCAAATTTATTAAGCTTACTTCAAAATATTCTATTAATTACAGAACTGGTTCTCCTACAGTAACTGCAACATTCATTTCCCCAAATTGGGAGGGGATGAGGGAGAAATAAGTTACAGTACCCGCCACATAACAGAACTTAACTTGGCACTGGCCTGTCTTTATTCCAGCTTTAAGTACTACCAACAAGGTGGCTAGCTATGATGGAAGAAGTCAGATTTCAGATTGCCGTTACAGTACATACAGAATTAGATTAACCTATAGATCTTCAAATCAATAATATAAACAAAATACTGCAGTTAGCATGAATACATCACTGTTCTCACGTTTTGTAAATTTGTCCAGCCTCTTAGAATGGTTGTGAGGACAAGTACTACCATTAATGGATTCATTTATTCAAGGTAATATGAAATTTCAAAGCAGGGTCCAGTTCCAGATCTCTTAGGCCTCAGACTCATGTTTTTATCTCTAGAACTTACTTTTTCAAAGAAGAATCAAGATATCTTTTCTTTTACCTACCTGCAGAGTCACAGACTTTCTCAGAAAGTTCTATGCGAGCATAACGCTTTGCTTCAGGACCTTCTGTCTGCCCAGTTACACAATATCCTGCTGTTTTTCTCATTTTCTTATTCCAGATTATTGCCATTTTCTCTGGTAACTGAAAAACAAAACAGTACATGTAATCTGCCCTCTCCTACCTCTCATCTTCTGGCCCTCTGGCTTCCCTTTATATTTACTGCAAAGCCAGTACAGGATGTCTCTTAGTGTCCTTAACACTGTTGTCACTTAAGATGCAAACCCACCCTCCATGGCTTCTTATTCCCATCATCAGTTTTTCTGTAAGCAACACTGGGAGTTTCACAATGCAGGATGAGACAAAAAGTCCCTTAGTTCCTCTATTCTGCCTCCAACAGTGGCTAACACATGCTGCTTAAGAGAAAATACAAGGACAGGTCAGGCATAAAACAGAATTTCCTTTTCAAAAAAAGTACTCTTCCCAACTGCTAGTCATTTGCAAGACAACACCTCACTGAGCCACAGGTGGTTCTTTACATTAAATAGCCCTTAAAGTTGTTTTCTGGTGTTTTGGGAAGAGTGTGTGTGTACGTATGTTTAAGAATATACATGCATTGTTAGCATCCACAATAGTCTATGATCAGAAGTTCTACAGCTTAATAATTTACAGGTCAAGTATCATCTGCCTTGGTTGTTCTGAACCTGCAACTTGCCATTTTTATTTGATGCACCTTCACACTGCAAGAGGGTGAATAATCACCCCTTGCTTACCCTCTGTGCTGTTCCTGGTTTTGTAAGCCCTCATCATATCGATGTTGGTTAACTCTGTTCTTTTACAAACAGTTTTCTGTCATCTAAATTAGTTAATGAGCTTAAGTAACTGGTCCAACAGTAGTAAGACCCGTACAGGGCTGAAGCACTAGGGAGCAAGATATTTTGCTTTCAGCAATAGTGAGCCTGTTCAGCTCAGCTTTATGTGAAATCACGACCTCACCCTGTCCTTGGTCAGCTCAACAATATTTTCTCAGCTGCACAGAAACATTTTCCTTCCTGAAGGAAATTCTATTGGAATTGCTGAGGGCAGCATACTTCCTTTCAAGGATGTTTTCACCAGAGCAGGGTCTCCAGTATCCCAGAAGATGTAAAGGTCAGGGCAGTGGTTCTCTGAAATTGAACCTTCAGTTTGAAACACAACTTATAGCTTTAGGTTCACCCAAAACTGTTACTCAAAGGATAAGCAGCTTTTTAATCTGGCCCAGAATGGCAGACATGAACATGCAATATGAATAAATGAAGACTGCATGTAGCATGACTAACCATGAGGCAAGAGGCTCTAATAACAAAGGGAAGCACTTTTATCCATCAGCCACTTGCCTTCTGTCAGCTGCAGGGAAGAAAGTTGTGCTACAACCAGCTATTAAGCTGTGGTAACGCTGTAGAGCTCACTAGTACATGTTACTTCCATAAAAGCTGAATGAGCAACAGTGGTAGGCAACCTTGAGCGTCTTTTAGCAACAGAAAGCCATAACTGCCTCTGTGGTAGTAGACCCCAGCAGAGGCAGCAATAGAAACATTCCCAGGCTGCTGAGTTGATGACCATGCAGGTACTAGAAAATACATGAAGATAAATATCAGTCACGTCTTCAAAGATGAAACTGATCCAAGGCCCCTCATGTAGCAGTTTCTCTCATCAAGGACTCTTGGACACCATCCAGACTGCTCACTTAAGGATGGTACACCATTACAGGTGGGAAAGCAAGCCAAGCTGAAAACTGCTGCATCACAGTGGTGATAAACCTCTTTCAAATAAATTGCTTGAACTAATTCAAACATAAGCCATTGCTACAAAGCCTAACATCTACTAACTGAAGAGGATAAAGAGCAATCACATCAAAAAGTGAGGAGCAACGTATTAACCAGCATTTTAGAACTGTAGTTTTTGTTTGAAGCCAACCTTCTGCTCAAAGATGGTACTATTATACAGACAGTAGAGCTTCTGTGCCAGCTCCTCTTTATTTTTCTTGAAATACTTCACGTAGTGGGAAGCCGGATTTGAGAGATCTTGCAAGAAACAGCCAGGCACTGAGCACACCCTGAGCCTGCAAGAAAAGCCATAAAGCGGTTTACCGAAGTACAGAGATATCACATTGAAAAATAACGGCCACTTTATAGCCAATAAAGGTCTCTGGTGTGCTGCCACTGGCATAAACCTCTCCTGACTCTTTTCACTAGCTTGCCTTAATGAGGCATATGCTTATACTGTCATCTTCCCCCTTCAGGGGCATGAAGGGGCAGAGCTGTTGCAGTAGTTCTGCAGTTATTTTATTAATTCACAAAACTAGATTATGAGGACTCCTAAGTAGGAAAAAAGGGTGGCTCAGATCTTTGTGACACAGCGAGCCACAATTATACCAAAACTTGATCGATATATGAACAGCCCTAATGTGATCACCCACAATAAAGGTGTATTTTGGGAAACATAGCCAAAGATGTTCTGGGAATCCTCAGGAATTCATTCAGGGGAAGCAGATATTCCACCAGGATGACTAACTTCAATACTGCAGCATTCTGACAAAACATCAGCTTTGAAGACATTTAAAGCTTTTGTACTGGTATACACAAATATAAAATGACTAAAGAAAACATCACATGGCTAAAAGGCAGAATAAAGGCAGCTATCATAAATGAAAAAGACATTCTTCTGAAAAGCTTAAGCTGCATCCACATATAGAAAAATAAACATGAATTCTGCAAGTTAGAAGGATACAAGTCTAAAATATCAAGCCAAGCTTGTTAAAAGGCAAGAATTGGTTTTGATATATTGAAACAGAATCGGTTTTGATATATTTTTCAGAGGCAGGCAGCTGGATAGATAGAATCTGTAGGGCCAGCACACACCAGAAGTATGCTCTGCCAAGACAAGGAATAGCAAGAGAGCTAACATTTACAAAGAAGATTTGACATGTCAGATGTATTTGTCATCAATTCCTCTAAGCGGAGATTAGCTTATGTTCTTCCTGTCATACCCATACTGAAAGCTTTGACTTCCAGCTACTTAACCATTAACAACTACTGAATTGGTAGCAGAAGTTTCTAGGTACCAGAAAAATCAGAACGTCATCCTAGGCAAAATGCTTAGCATCCCTTTGTCCATCTATAATGGTCCTAGAACATAGTAAAGATGGAGAAACACTTACCTTTTCTCTGTCTTTGCTGACTGTGAGCAACTGACCAATTCATTCCTAGGAGTTCTTGCAGAAGTAATTATCCTGGAAGGTGTTTCTTGAAGTGAAATGGAATTTGGCCTTGGTGTCTTGACTCCCTCCCCTTTCAAGGGCTGCGCGTCTTCACAGGGTGGCTTGATGTTTTCTAGTTCAACAGAAAGAGTCGTACAATTACACGCTGTCAAAGAATCAGGAGCACAGATGTCGGCAACCAGGTAACAGACAACAGTGAAAAAAGTCGAATATTCCACCTCAACATACACACTCTTACTATGCATACTTGAATGCAAAGGCTTTTACAACTGATGGAAAGGTAATTTGCTGTTATATACTACGAAAACTACCATTCAATGAAGGAGTGGCAGACTCCAAACTTTCAAACATTCAGCTAGGAGGAAGTGGAGGGAAAAGCATTTGTGACCTCACTCAGGCATTTCTGTGACATTTCACCAATTCAAAATGCATCACCAGCACATTGGGAGCAGTAATGCAGAGACACCATTTGAACAAAAAAGTCATCCTAACCTTCTGTTGTGTACCGTAAGTCACATCGTTTGTTTCACAGGCAAGTTCTGATCAGATAGCTGCCTATTTCCCCAGTCCACGTCTGGACAGATTGCTAAAATGACTGTCCCTCACACCAGAAACTAAGGACCGCTTCAAGGTTTGCAGTTTCAGAAGATGTTCTCTCTGCTGGCTTTTCTATAACTGTTGCCCAATCTGGGCCACTTGTCTCCTTTCACTATTCAACCATACACAGAGAAGCTAATGCATCTGCCAGCTCACTTCTAGAATGTTTTCAAGACCACATTGACATACTCCAATTAAAAAAAAAAAAGTGCTCTTTCCCAGGGCATATTTCTATGCTGTCAGCTATCCTCTTCCATAGGTCTCCTTGTCCTGAACTGGTCCTTGTTAGGGAGGAAGGCACCCTGTGTTTACTCTTCTAGAAAGAAATTTGTTTTCACCTGCTCTTAACTTAGCAATAGTCCTCTTCCTCCTTTGCAGTCTTTCAGTTGGAGCTCACTTCAGTTAGTCAAAGGAGAGAAGGAGCTATTTATTTAGGAAATTCTCATTATAAGCAGTATTTTAAATAAAATAAAGTCAATTATAAATCAAAATACTAAATTAACAGCATCTAAACAGCTCAAAATTTCAGTCTTACCAAAATGACAGCTTCACATTAACTACTATCATACATAAAAAAATTAGTTAACATCATTCAAAACCACCAATCAGCTTTGTTTTCAGAACAATTTTAAAACCTAAAAATGCCTACAATTATAGGAAAACGATAGTGAAAAACTTAAATCTTGATACCACAAGACTAGTAGAATCACTTTTCAGAATGCTGAGAGGAAGAATTTCTGATTGCATCAAATTCAATTGCAAGACAAGGGGTTCTAAAGCATATGCCACACAAATGAAAAGAATGAGGCAATTAGCACTACCATTGCTGCCAATAGGTAGCTTGCAAGTTAGCTAAGAACAATTGCTTACCTATTGAGCTTGGCTGGTAGACAGTTTTACTTGTGCTTACGATTGATTTTCGGGGTATACTTTGTTTCCTTATCCGTTCTATTAATGATTCAAATTCATCATCTGAGCTATCTGATTCTACCTCTGTCCTCTGTCGTAGTGCCGCAGTTAGCACTTTATTTCCTGTACTGTTTTCATAGCTTGCTTCTTTCCTTCTAACAAGTAAGTCTGGACTGCCTCTGGAAATTGACTCTTTCAGATTCTGTGGAGGTGGGACTTTTATGCACCTCCAACTCTCTTTCAAGTCTTTCACTCCCCCTTTTTGGTAGTCATGCCATGAACTTTCTATAAAGACACAATCTTCAGTGTCACTTGAAAGCAGGAATTTTTCTTTCCAGAAGTCATCAGCTTCTTTGGGGTCTGAAGATCCTTCTGTGCTGCAATTCAAAAGAAACAGCTGAAAGTTTTGGTAATTTCATTTAGGAGACCTGCCTTTGTCTTAACACAAAAAAATCCCTTGAAAGATAGGAAAATACAAAGAATAGAAAGATATCTTTGCATTTTCTTTATTACACCCTGCTCATTTACCATCATACTATCATACTAAATGGAAAGCCACACTGAAAGATGTATAAAAAAAAGTAGCTTAAACCCCAGGTATGTGTACATCAGCCACCAGGCCTACCAATCCTGAATAGGTAGCTAGCGCTGGCATAATCTTCATTCCCAACACCAAAAGGTACGTGCATGTAAGAATAAGGTTGAACGTTTCCTATTAAAGTTCTATAAAACCGCCAAGTGAAGGGTGACTTAAAAAAGTAAGCCTTAGCTGATTGGACCATAGCCTACAGCACAAAGCACACACTTGCCAACAAACAAGGCTTCTGACTTCTCAGATTTGACCTATCAAGATCAAGGGATCATGTCAGATCTATTGGTGACTTTTTTTTTTTTTTTATGATGCTTCTGGTCTACTTTGCTTCCCCCATTGCCCCTCCAGAAACGATTCCATTAGCTTTTTACAGTCTGCAGCTGGCATACATGTTTCAGTATTGACATTCACACCAGCTGCAAGAGATCCTACCCTTCTTGATCTGGGGTCAGAGCTTCTTCAGGTTCACATGAGATCACTGTTATCATCCCTCATCTACTAGAATTCTATCACCTGATCACTGGCCTAGTGGCTGTGTCAAGAATTCCAGAGCCCTGTTCACTCCTTCTAGGAAAGTCCAGTTCGCTCATATCAATGAGAAGCGTGCCAGATACATTCAGAGCCTGGCTACAGGTAAGTAAACCAAGGCACTTTCCATCCCTTGGGGAAAACAGGGTTCCTCTGCTCAGACAAGCACTGAAACTCCTCAAGTCATGGTTTGCTGGAGCGTCTTGTAGGCAGTGTTAACACATAGGACCTTGGCTAAAGAAGCTCCAAATTAAAGGACCCTATCTGTGGCTCTACAACACCCATAGGCAAGACTGGCCTGATTGCCAACATCTGCATCAAAGGTATCTATCTTAACAACAGTTACCTCCTTTCTTTACCCAATGACTTTTGGCCACAGAACGAGCTGGTACAGCCACAGGAATGCTGTTTTGCATAGCCTAAGTCCTCTCTCCACAATGATCATTCCATATTTGCAGCTCAGTCTAATCAACCATGAGTTGCTACTCTTTTCACAGACCCAAATACTAGCAGATAGTCCACAGTATCTGCAGACTTACAGCAATGCTTCAAAATGTACACCTGTCAGAACAGTATGACCACGCTTTCCTCTTACCCCCAGAGGAAACAGAAAAGCCTCTCCTCTGTTACCCTCAAGGAAGAGACAAGTGGTCTTATGTTTAACAAGCTCCCTCAGAAATTTGAGCTCAGCAATGAACGTTATCTTTCTACCCATTAAAATTTCTGCTTCATATTTGCTGTTGGACAATTACTTGCCATTCTTTGCTGTGCTCTTTCTCACTTTAAAGTCCAAGAAGAAATCATCTGAGTCATCAATTAAGTCCTTCAAACTGTAAAACAAGCAAATAATGTGAAAAAGGTAGGCACAAGCAGGAAAATAGAAAAGTAAATTTGCCTTACTAAAAAAGCAAACCAAAAAAGCCACCCAGTATAGCATTATCAGTTGCTCACAGCAAATGTTACCAACTACATCCATTAACAGGCATGGCAATAAAGCACGTACACCTCCACACACCCCATTTTACATTTGACCTGAACATACAGATTGAACACGTAACAGTTCTTCTGTCTGCGCTCACTTCTATACATGTATCTGCCTATGAATCACTAAAACTTTTGATCATTTTTCTGTATTCTGAATAGTAGACATGATACAAAAAACTAATATAAAAACACTGAAAACTCATTAATTACAGCACCCACCTTGCATCTGCCTTTTTAGTAAAAGATTTGGGAGTCTTCGTTCCACCTAAAACTGACACAAGATTAATTAAGAACAAGGTTCTGTTTCTTTTATTATGTATTTTTTAAGAGGAAAGTCTGCAACTAGTAAATATTCAGTCTAAAGTTAAAAAAAATAAGAATCCTTTATATGTCCAGCTCTCAGTTCCTCAAAGCTGACAGCAGCTGTCTAGCATTTCCTTCATTATTCAATTCTTTCCCAGCACAAAGCCAGATAAGAAGTGCTGTTATGTATCTTGGATTATCCAGCATAGCCTCCTCATATATGTGGATCACTGGGGGTGGAATTGAATGGGTTTATCAATATTTTCTCCAAGCATTTCAATGACTGCAGGTAGTAATTTTCCAACTGCAAAGAGGTGTCCATATGCTTATTCCACTAAGTGACTCCAAAAAAACGTTCAAACAAAATGGTAACAATAATACCCCACTGCAGAACTGCAATTCAATACTACTTCTCAGAAATAAATACATTTTAATCACTCCAGGAATATTGTGGTGACTGCTAAACACGAAAACATGGTTCAGGCAGCGGTACTGCACATGCTTGAAGTAGTGACTCTTGAGGGATTATCAGAAATGCCATCAAAGTTTCACACACCATCATGGGAGATTCAGGAAAGTTGAAGGGGAACAAATTTCATTGAAGCATAAATCAGGCTGGGGAGAAGGGAAACAACTGTCCCTTCTTCAGAGCACAATGGGCCAAAATAGCAGTTAAGGCGCGTTTCTTCTCACAGTCTGAAGCTGCATGCATGACTTCAGTGGGATTATAAACTTTTGCACTATGCCATAAGTCCAAAACCAGAAGATAGGTTTGCTTCATAAAGCTTTTATGGCTGATTGGTAGATTCTGGTACCAGGAAGAGCAGCTGAGCTACACCCAAATGCTACCCTGACAGCACACTAAGTTAAAAAGCATAGGATGGGACCAAGTGCTGTCCTCTTTGAAGAGGAGCACAAGGCTGGGGGCAGGAGGCAAGAATTCAAGACCTTGAAGCTGAAGAAGTATTTGGGGTAATAATTATTTTCAGTTTTAGCACTCAGAAGTCTTCACCACTACCTTCATTACAAAAGAAGTAAACACAGCATCTGCTGCCTTCCAAGCCACTACATCAAGGTGACTCACTGAAGCACAAATGGCCAGCAGCCTTCCTAGATGATCGTAACCACAGTGTTCCTAGACCATGAAGCAGCACCAAACTAATAAGGCTGACAGCTGGTCACAGGAAACCAAAAGCTTACAGAAAAATATGATTCGCTACTTAATAAATCAATTTTCTTTAGTTTCTTGTCTCTTAGCACCTATTTTCATTTCACTCTTCCCTACAACTGTCTCTATAGTAATAGTACGGCAATAGAATAGCTTTGCCAATATCCTGCTCCAAGCCCCAACTAGTTACTCTCAGCTACCTTCCATGCCAGAGCTGACACATGACTTCAGCCTCAACAGCCTCCTAGATGGAAGAGGCAAAAGGAGTAGAAAAAAAAGAGCAGACTGTGAAATATTTAAGTTTAAAAAAATTATAGGAAAGTGAGCAATAACCTAATGAATAGACAGTATTGAAATATTTATCAGATTTAAAAGCCCAGAGGCAGTGCTGGAACTACACGCAGCACATTTTAATTCAAGTGGATGTAAGTAGTAAGGCTTGACAATCCTTAAGATCATTCACATGGCACTGAGCTGGAGGAGAGCATGAACTCTAAAGTAATGAGAAATCTGCTTTAAAAGCAGCTGGACTAACACAAGAGTGATACGCAAAAGGCAAAATAAACAGATACAACTTGTTGCCTTACCATTTCTACCATCTCTGTTCAAATATTGAATATGTAATGAGGAACATATTGCAAGATATACAAACCTTTAAATTACTTACCAGTCTGAAACCCACTTGAGGTGTGGTAGAGCCATGATTAGTCCATCTAAGGAATGAGCTAAATAGAACTCTTGCAATAGGAAAAAAACCAGCGCATACTCAGCTACCCTAGCACAAAATGATAGTCATAACAGCTATTACCAAAAAGAAAAATATGAGTATCAGGTTTTGCATGCACAGGCTAAACAAAGTCAGGAAGTTATGCACAGCAGAAGCCACCACGTAAAATTTAGTATTCAGTTCCATCTTACAAGACCTTGAGCCACTATGAAAAGCCAAAAACATCCTTCCGCCTGGTTAAGACTCATGCAGCAAAAGCCATGACACATAAGAGGGAATTCTGAGTAGTTTAGATGTATGTTTCGAACAGTATTCAAAGATGCTCCATAGACTAAGAAGGAAGCAAGTGATTGACGGGGAACAGACAAAACTGAGGCATCAAGAAAAAGTGATGCAAGGCAAAAAGCATCCAAGATTGAGACATGAGATTCAAGAACGCTCACTGTGGCATACAGCTACCAACACCGCACTGCAAGGAGAAAATGTATTTTGCAGCAGGAGCAATGAAAGAAAATCATGCATAAAACCAACTTCACTGTAACTAGATGGAAACGTGTCCTTTTCATACTCTTTCAAAAAACAAACTAACATATGCTATTACTTACACATTTCAAATTCATCATCACTGCTAGAAGAGAAGTACAGGGCATAGCTGCAAAAAATGAAATGCAGAATAGTATCAAGAACATTAGGTCAACGGCAAGTAGATCTGCATCTCTACTGGTCTGAAATACCTGTGAACACTGAGAACCAAATATATACTGAAAAAACACTGAACATCTCAAGCTGAACTGTTTTAAATTATTTAAAATAGAAATAGAACTTGTATATTAAAATTTATAACAACCATTATATGTTCAATATTCAAACAGTAATCAATCGCTATCAAAGTCTGAAAGACTGAACTGTTCGGAGACACAGGCTTAGGACATTACATTGGTTTAAGTTCAAATTGGGTGTCAGAATTCAGAAGGGAAAGAAAGCTTGTTTCTCATCTTACACATGGTTTATGATCAGGTAGAGAACGCTGTGTTGCATTAAGTCTGAAACCTCAAAACATGCAACAATGAGAAACAAGCTGCTTTCGTATGAAGTGCACCTTAATATAGCTACTATGATTATTTAGCAAACTGCAGTGGCTTTCATAAAGCTGTTTTAAGATACACGATGGATACACTACCACTTAGACTGCAATTCTCATGCAAATGTAGAGACAAGCCATAATGCTCTTACCACATTACTTATTTCATTTTCTGACAAAAACCAAACATTAACAACTTGAAAAATACACTATACAATTACTTAAAAATACGAAGACAGCTTTTTTTAATTAAAGTTACCCAAACCTTAAAGACTATAATTCTGAAACATGCTAATACTTAGTAATTATCATAAAACAATTGAGAGCGTAATCTAAAGTTACATTTATATACGATCAATAAAAATAACGAGGGACGCGAGGACCGGGCCTGCTGCCGCCCCCTCACCTGCCGCCCCGTCGGCCCTGGCCCCCTGCGGCCGCTCTCCCTGGGCCGCGGCCGCCTGAGGCCAGCCCGCAGCAAGAGCCTGA